TTTATTTGTCTCACTTGAAGTAAAGGGTGAAGTAAGATGGTATATAACAGTAGTAGATCCTTAATTTTTTTTTTAATCTTTATCCCAATTTTTGTAACATCAGAGCAGCATATAAGATAAATCAGAAAGAGAGAGAGAAAATAAGAAAATAAATATTTTCTAAATAATTTTGCTTAAAGATTATGAGCAATCTAAAGAAAAACTCTGACATGTTAAATTCTCTACCTAAGTTACATATTTAAAAAGTGAAGATATTTGAAAAGAATTTTCTTTATAGGCACATTTTTTGTAACAAATTATTTTCTTGTAGATTAATTGTTGCAATTACTGCAATTACAATTACAGCTGCAAGCAGTTGAACAATTTCCGATGCAAAATGTATTTTTCCCTTTCTCTGGTTTTATCCATGTTGTTCATTTATAATATTCTGTGCACGGTGAGCAGTTGCTTCCCATTGCTCTTTCTTGGAAGGGCACAGTGATGTTCAATGCTAATTACATTTTGGATTTCTTAATCGATTTCTGTGGCCAATTCTCACTTCAGTGTCTGTGGCATTTTAAAGTCTCAATTTGAATCCTAAAAAGGCTTAGTCCCTATTTTCTTTTTCTTTTTGTCTAAGTCCTCACTCCCACCCTTACCATTCCAGTGCCGATTCATTCCATCTTTCCTAATCTCCTATCATTGCATGCTACTGAACTCATTTGTGGCTGTTACCTTCAGAATGGGTTCTGCCTATCTGTGGGTTGATTGTGTTACTGCCATATTTAGAATTATCTTTAAATCTGCTGATGTTTTTTCCTTGTTTGTGGGTGGTAAGTTTTACAGTTACAGTTCCATAAGAAGGGAAGTATTACATTTAGTTTAATCTTAGGGATGTTCTATAGACTAGGACTAATGTACAGTACTGTATGGCAAATTTTATCTTTCTTTTACTAGATAACCTGATGTGAATCGGTGACTATTGATAAAAGGGAACTCAGTTCTCTATTCATTTACAGAATGAATATGAATGAATTATTTAATAGTATAGCATCATGAGACAATACAAACATAATTCTGTAATATTGTTTACAACCAAATGGGATTATATTTGCAATAATACAAATTATGTGCATGGCACATGCTTACATGACAATTGCTGTATACATTTTGGAGCTATGCTTCCTGAATTTTTTAAATGCTGGATTGTAGTATTAATTTTTTTTAAAGAACCTTCCATAAAGCACATTAAATGAAACTAACAACAATGATTTCATACTATATGTGTCAATGCTAAATGTAATTTCATGCTTATGCATAAATAGATACCCATTTCTAACACTCACATCTTTTTCCCTGTTAGTTATTTTTATATTGTTGTACATTTTTGGTGCCAATTCTGACAGACAAACACTATCACTTTGCTTATGCTATAAAATCTTAGAATGTTTATCGATGGTATAAATTCTGCAGTTTAGATTTGCAGCTTTTTAAAAAGTACAATTAGTGATCTCACTGTAATTAGAAGAGAAACATTTTAATTTAAAGTGTTAAAAATATTTTACTTATAGCTAAACAGATGTTACATATATAATTATAAATGATTTTTCCATCTTTCCCCTGAATCACCTAGATTGCAGAGTGAATTTATTTATTCTTTTGTTCCCTTTCACCACTTTAGCACAGACCATTAACATTCCTCCAGATGTGATATATTTTACTTTTTAAGGGTTGTGATGGTGATAGTGCTTAGAAAGATCAAGGTTGTCTGAGCTAATAGGATGGACACACACCTCTGCTTTCCATCAGTCCTGCTTCTTCACAGGTTGATTCATGTAAATACCCTTACAGCTGGGTTAACTGTGAAGAGTTTTGATGTATCTACATTAATGGTGTCATACTCATGTCATCACAGCATCATTACATGACATTTCATGACTTTTCCCCTTCGCTAAACTGGGTGTGGGTGTGGCCAGCATGTGACGCATCTAGCCCACAGGCCACAAATTTGACAGCCCTGATCTACATAATCCTCCTTAATTTCTTCCCTATCACCTGTGTTTAGGTTCAAGTTCAATTAAGGAAGCTTCTAGATATCTGCCACTTGTTATATAATATGCCTAATATTTTAGCACCAAAATGGAACAAAAAAGGAATCAGAGTTGAGTCATTGTTGCATTTCCTATATTCACTCAGCTGTACTTGCTGTGCGTAAATCTTAATCAGCTGAATCAGTGGATGAAGGACAACTTTAGATTAATGTGTTTTAGATTAGCCAAATGTGCTGAAAGAAATAATAATCTTTGCTTCAAATTAGACTTATTGGAGTAGGTGCTAGGACTCAAATATCCATCTTTAAAATTGTGTTCTGAACATAACAATAGAAATTTGGATCACACAACTGCATTAGACAAGATTTTTCTGTATGATACATATCCACAGCAATTATGTACTAGTTTTTTCCCCAGTTGATAATTTATTTGCTTTAGCTTCTGGGAAAGCTCTTTTTGGCATAGGCACTGACAGTTCAACTTTAATTTTGCAAATCACGTACCATAAGTTTTGATTTGAGAGGATTGGAAAAGGATGGTGGCATGTTAACCATAACATTTCTAGAACTCTGAGACAAAATTTAAGTCAGAAAATGAGCAGGAAGCTGTATGTATGTATGCTTACTGTTTTGTTTACATAAATATTCTTTTTGTTCTAAAGAATGAAAAAAGTTACTTTTTAATTATGTTTTTAAATAATGTAATTTGTATCTAATACTGTCATTCTACATAGTGAACATTATTTGATCTACCAGATTAGAATGTGTATAACTGTACTTTCCCTACAATATATTTCATTTCAAATATTGGTCAGAGTTGGAAAACTTTCTGGAGGGTAGAACGGTCAAGCTCATTAGGTAAACCAAACCAGAAAATCAACTGGAACTATTTTTTAATAAGTTGGCTATAATAACAGAATCCTTCAAGTCTGAATGTGCTTTACTTCTCCTTCTTTGGACTGAGTGAAATAGAGACTCATTTGCCCGAGACTCTTCCAAATATTATTTTGCTTTTCAGAGTTTAAAAAGTGTTGCAGTCCCCTTTGCTTGTGTAACGGTACTTGCATATTTCTGACAATGATTATTGAATAATAATAGAAATATTATTACATGATTATTTCTTTTTCTCTCTTTAGGAACTTAAAAGTCTGAAACAATAAAATTGACAACAATAAACAATTGTTTCTTTTATAAAAGCCTGCTGGGTTGAGTACTTAAAGGATTATGAGAGATTGACCTTTCTTTTGAGTATGTACCCTAAGCAGTTTATGTTGTTTTACAGATATGAAACAACACAAAATATTATTTTTATAGGAAATCTACATCCTCACAAGTACTTAATTTCTAAGAGTCATCACCATTCAGCTGCTTTTCCTAAATAAATATATATATATAAAAACTATTATGTAGATTTTTATCTATTTAAATCTTAAGCTTTTTATTTCTAGCATATTTTCTACAAATCTTTCTAAAAATTCTAAATCCATGATTACCATTTAAGCTAAATGTTAAATTAACATTTGAAAATTATAATCTTGGTATTTTAAGCACTGGTAACTTTATTAAATTGGTAATACATTTACAGTGTATATACAGTTCATATAGCAAGGTTTCTGAAACATTATGCCTTTATGATCTTTTCATTACTTGTTTGCAGTGAAATAAATGACAAAACAATCTTTCCTCTGGTGTACCAATTTCATCCAGTGGTTTCTCATGTTAAAGGAATCCATCAGCATGAGTTGTATAGTTACTTATCAAACATAGTTTATGTTATGCTTGATGAAGGTTTTGACTGAGAAAAATGTGCTGAAGATGTGTAATGTAAATCTTACTTTAATAGATCTGGTGAAAGTGAAGTTCCCTGAGTTCCAGCAATCTTCCAAGATTAAATTTGTGGTCCCAATGACCAACTCAGATTGGATCCTTTATAGCTTATTCTTGTGGTTCTAAAGCTAGACTTGCTAGAAAATAGCTGCCAGTCAATCTGAATCAAAGATTGCATTATAGGATCAGGAATCCTTGCTAATAAAGTTTATAGAGATCTGTAAGATCTTTTTTTAAGGAAAGTGTCAAAACTAGTTTAATTAATGGCATATGAAAAGTTATGTATGCAGTTATTCATTATTCCCCAAGTAAAGCATGATTAGGTGCTATATTGCAAGGAATCTAAACATTGTAACTATATACACAGTTCTAAAGAGCAATCAAACAGTTTATTTGGCAGCTGTATAGCAATATATTTAAACTAATAATAGTTTTATTGCATTGCCAATGTAAATGAAGCTACTTTTCTCTCTCATTTTATATTTCATACATGTCTTCTAAAATGTAGAAACTTGGGTAGGAAAAATATGTATACCCAGTATAACCTTTCTATAATTTCTTTAAGATATGAATCATATTTTTAAAAGATGGTTTAATAATGTATATAAAAATGTATTTTATGTAAAAGTATGTCTAGGAATTTAGAAAATCCATGTTCAATGTTTTCTGTTATGAAATTTTAAATTCTTGTCTTCTGATATCCTTTTGATTATTGACTAAAGAATCTAAGAGCTGTGCTATATTAGACTATAATTTTCTATTGTTAGGGCATGGTTTCTGGCCAACGGGAAGCGAAGCATGAGTGTAGTCTTTCTATCCATGTATGTGCTACAGGACCTGGTATTTAAAGATGTATTGTTATCTTGACTGAAAACTCTTGGCAGCCTTACATGCCATGATTTTGCGTAATCTTTTGTTAAAGTAAGCGGCACAATTAGTGAAGAACGTGGAATTTTTTTAAAGAATAATTTTATCCCTGTGCAATTTATCCATCCCATGCACTTGCTTTCACTAAACCCCAAACAAGCATTTATTTGAAACACTTGTCAAAAATGGCAAAGGAGTTCCTGTCCAAAACTTTTGGAACGTTGATATTGATTTTAAAGAAATTATTCATCCCAATAAAGCTCTTTCCTCCCATCAGAGCCATCAGCTCCACCTGCTCCATCTAATCTCAGGATTGCCAACTCTACAGTAAACAGTGATGGAAGCATAAACATAAGGATTATTTGGGATGTCCCAGAGGAACCTGATATTCCAGTCCATCATTACAAAATCTTTTGGAGCTGGACTGTCAGCAGCAAGGCTCTTGTCCCAGCAAAAAAGAAGAGAAGGAAGACTACAGATGGAGTAAGTAAAAAAGGGAATAGAATGAGATACTAAAAATAAATTGTCTCAATTGCTTCTGTCTAGTATGTTCAATTTTCTTTAGGCTAGAGGCTTCCAGTCTCAAAGCAGCATCTTGAGGAACACCTTGTAAAAGAGGACAGGGAAAACGGGCACTTAAAATATTTTAGGAATTCATGGCAGAAGGACAAACATTAAATGAATTACATTATATTATTTAAATTACTTCCTTGCTAAATTGCTAAAGCGGTTTTATTCAGACAGGCATTCAACGTTTAATGGACTGCTGCTGATTTTTCTTGCTGTTTTTTATATTTTGAGAAAGATTATTTTACTCTTTATTTAGAGTCCTAGGCTTTGTAATATCATATTGTACATATTGCTTATACGTTTTCATTGTGTAGAAGTGGTAAAATTCAGAATACTAACAAAAATACTACTACTACTAATATGTGTGTATGTGTGTATGTATGTATGTATGTATGTATGTATGTATGTATGTATGTATATATATATATATATATATATATATATATATATATATATATATATTCAATAAAATGAATCTTTCTTGAAACTCAGTAATTGGAATAGTAGAGATTAACAATACCCTATTCATTTGATACAATATGTAGCAGTTAAATTGTTTCAATGTTAGCATTAACTCTGTGTTAATGTGGAAAATGTTGGTAAAGAGAAAATGCTATTGACGTGGCCCGATATTGGCCAAATCTCATTTAGTTTTAATCCTATTTATTTTACATACTTTTAAACGTGCTACATTTCTGACCTATTTTATGCCTATTTTATTTGCTCACTGTTGAATGTTATATGTCTATTTTTTGCTTCTGACGTGAATAAACAGTTAGCAAAATCATATTTGATTTATGCAACTTAACTTTTTTCCATTATAGTCTCAAAATTATGTGATCCTTGAACACCTTCAACCCAGTAGTAATTACATGGTGGAACTGCAGGCAGTTACATACTGGGGTCAAATACGACTGAAAAGTGCAAAAGTGTCTCTCTACTTTAGTTCTACTCAGACAACTATCAGCAACAGTAAGTGGTGTTTCCATAAAAGAATAGTAAAGTTTCTGTCTCTAACTCTCTATCTTCATTCCATTCCTAAGTAGTTTACTGGGTATGTTCTCCTTGGACCAGAATATTCCAGTTTGGTTAGAACTACTTCACAGATGGGGATACTGTGAATCTAATAATCCTATTTTGTCTGGACACATATAGAAAATCAATACTGATAATCAGTTCTTATAATATATACATATTTGGAGCTTTTCCAAATATAAAAATAAATCATAATTATGTGATTTAGTAGTTAAGAACAATGACTGGAAAGACCTAAAGCTTTATTGATCCACAACCCTGGAAGCTCATTGAATGATTTTTATCCAATCTCACTCTCTTAGTCCAAACTTTCTCACAGACTGGATGTGGGAGGGAGAGTGGGTGGAGAGGTCATGAATGAAAAGTAGAATATAAATCTAATCCTTAAGAAATATAAACAGCATACAAATAGGGAAACTATGAGTCTGTTTGTCATCTATTTGGGAGATATTAAAAAGTGCTAGATATTTTGGCTTTTGTGACATTAAGCAAAATTAACGCATGTCTTCTGCATATGTTTCATTCTTCACTATTTAAGTACACTGGGAATATTCTACTGTAGAGTGTTAGGATTAGTGCTAGTTAATAAATTAAATATTATTTCCAATGTGTCCACATTCCAAGTAATGCACCCATAGAAGCCGAACTCCGAGGCAGGCAAATTCCTCAAAGAACAGTTTATTGGATATATCATATTGGCACAACTGGTGAAAGCCGACTCTAAAAGTTCCCGCGGCTTTCACCTAATTAAACAGGAAAGTTTCCCCTTTCCCCCAAGTCACTGGTCACGCTGTCCCATCCAGTTGCTGGCCGGTTGCTTGGTTACTTCATTCCTCCTCTGGCCAGCCACCTTGAGAATGTCCTTGGTTCCCACATGAAAGCTTTATTGTTTTAGCTACAAAACTCCATCTAACTATTTCCCCCTTCCTCTGTTGTGTGGCAACCCTGAAGCCTCCAAGTTGGCCTCAGCCAGGTTCACTTCAGGGTTGACACAAGGATTTGCTAGAGGAACACAAGACAGATTTACAGATACATCATATTTTGTTCCCTTTAGTGCTTGCTATGTGCACTGAAACTTCACGTCTAATCTCTATATCCATTTTACATCAGGGTAACTGAAACAAATTCCTTTTTTATAGTTACCAGTTTCTGTCCCCTGTTGCAGATCGTATTAAATTTACATTGAGATAAAACCTTTGCTAATCAAGGTCTGGTTACCCTGATTTCCACATGTATGAAAGTTTCATCAAATTACATTCAATTGGAAGGCACCCTTTCTTTCTTATTTCACAATTAACTTTGATTTATTCTTTAACCTGCTTTCGAAAATACATAATTATTTTCACTTCTTTATTGTTCTTCATTTTTACCTACAAGAGTTTATATTTTTGTGAACTCTGTTGAATTTGTCATCTTCTTTTCTTTCTTGTTAGTGGATTTTCATATTTTAGTTTTATAGCTGAGTAAAAGCAGCATCAGAGAAAATATGATTTGCTGTGAAATCCAGTATTTGTCCTGATTCTAGTATGGAAGCTATTTCAACTCATGGACATATTTAATAGTGCTTGACAGTTTTAAAGCAGTGTTTCTCTTTTGTGCTTTGCTTTATTAGCTTATGAAAAATTGATATACACATTATCTGAACTATGTTTTGTAAATTAGGAATAAATTGTTATGGATTAATATTAATTTCATTAATTCAATGTTATAACATTAACATTTCAATGCAGATGTATTTCATTATTTAATAATAGTTTATTCTCAATAAACCTAGTATAAAAATATTGTTTTAGAACTGTAATATTCTTTTCTATTTCTCCAAAAACAGCTGCAATATAACTTCATCTTCATTTTTAGTGTTTTCTACTTCACATTAGTCAATTTTCATATTTGTGCTGACTATTATTAGTAATACTTACCGCTTTATTACTCTTTTGATATGGTTGGCTCTGGATGCCTTGTCAGTAACAGCTACACTATTAAATTGTTTTTGCTTTTTAAAAATGTTGTGTTATTATGATGAATTCAGAAGTACTGGAATTCTTTATCATTTTGTTATTGTATTATTACTTATAAATGTAATAAATTAATAAAATGTTATAAACACTGTAATAACCTTCTCTTTACCTGAATACAACGCCATATGTATGGGATCTTTGAAAATAGAATAGCTATGTTACCAGCTAGGATTGATCATATTATATTTTAGCAAACAAGAAAATTTGAAAATGTCTAAATATTCTGGAACCAATAACTTTCTTTTAGAATTAGCTGCCAACAACTGGCAAAGTTATTTATGTTTACTCATGTTTTATAAATAAATGTTAATTATTTCTTTTATTGTATTTTTATTCTTTTTATTTGTAATTCAGTGATCTCTTATTAGATGCATTTCAAGTATCATTTGAAACATTTTGATTATACAGCATCTTTGCAACTGGAAAATTTTCAGAAATATTTTCTTTTACAGAAGAATGGACATCTACCATTGGTAAAGCAGCTGATGTTTCATTCTTCAAAGGAAGTAGACTTAATCGTCTTCTTGAAATTGGAGTCCCTTTTTTCGAAGATGACCAACTTCAAGTGAAAGTCTACTGGAAGAAAACAGAAGGTGCCTAAATAATTTGTTAGTTATTAAAAAACACTGATTCAGATAGCTTTGTGGTAATTTTAGATATACAAATATAGAAAGTCTGACTGCTTTGTGATATACTGTTGGCATTTTTAAACATATTATAATTAATATGAGCTATTATTTATTATTTAAGTTGATATAGAAGCAAAGGTTTCCAACTTTCTCCTATGCATATATTTGGAGGAGAGTGGAGGAGAAGCATCTTGCTTGCAGATATGCATTCTGTTTACTAGTAATTTCCATATGTACCCATGCATATAAAGTATTACTCATCAATATGACCAAACAGTTACAGCCCCCTTTTCCATAGTGTCGATTTGACTTAGATATCATAGTTAAAAGATTTTTCCCCCATCTATTCAACCCTAATAATAGCAGTTTTATGTTTCCAGTTTTTTAAGCTTCCTCAGGGGTTCTTATTACTACAATACAAAGGGAGAAAATATGTAGTAGATTAAGGATCTCCAAACTAAGCAAAGTAAACCTAAAATTGATTGAACTATGATTGTTCAGTGGTATTTCCCCCCAAAAAAACTGTTGGCATAACCAGCCTCCTTATTATTATATCTATGGAGGCAGCAGCTCTCTTGCAACAGTGGAGATGGTGTTGGTGGGCAAATTAACTAGAGTCAAAAGCTATAGAGCAAAAAGGGAGGAAAAAATTGTGTTTCCTCACCACCACCATTTCCACCCATGCAAGGATGTTTCTGGCTCATTGAGAAGGCAGGAAGGCATGTAATGAAGCCTCCTGTAGAAATGGAACCAACCATTTTCCTTATTAGATTGATACCATTGTCTGTATAAGACTTTCTGGTTATGCCCTCTTCTGTATCCACCCGTATCCTTCCCGTGCCTGAGTTAATAGATGTAAGTGAAGAGAAAATTCCATTTGAATTCTCATGTACTGACTAAAGCAGGGTTTGTGTCAATACTGATTCTAAATGTTTGATTAGGAGCACTCATTTATGTGAATTGCAGCATTCCAATTCTTGTTATCAACGTAGATACACATATAGAACTATGGATAAAACAAAAATCAGGTTATCTTTGTTAATCAATTATAGAGGCCTTTTGTTCTTTGTTTCAGGTACAAGGCTTCTCTTGACAGATCAGTCACAATCTTAATGGGTCTAGGAAACCATTAACTATATTAAAAGGGAAGTGGTAGTTAAGTGATCTGTAGAAGATTCCCTATGGGAGACTAATATTGCTGTACAAATGACTCAAGAAATGGCCTAGCCATGGCCTTTGATGGTCAAGATGAAAAAAGTGCTCCCATGTAGGATCTCAGAGTGGATGTGAACATCAGTTTCCTATTGCAGCATTTAGGTACTGGACAAATCATCTGAAAAAAAGAACCTGTAGAGCATAGTTACAATCTCCAAACTCACCCACAAATTTTTAGCTTGATCATGGTCTGAATCTTTCTTTATATGCATACAGATTATTGAATAGCAAGACTGAGTCATAGGTCATCTCAGATGCAGAGGCTATTAGCAATAACACACTGGAACAGCCCCAGAACCATTTGTATAGGCAAAGATTTGCATTAGTGGTATGTACTTAAATCTGCATTCTAAACTTACATTTCAGTTAAGCATGGCTTAAAACTCCCCCCCCCCAAGAATAATGTAGCATCTTGACATAATAATGTCAATTTTCTGTTAAAAGGGGGTTTATTGCTTTTGTGTTGCACTAGCCTTTAATCAGTGGAAATTGTGGTTGGTTTGGTCTCAGACTGCCTACTCTTAAACAACTATCAATGAATCTGGCATCTGAATAACTTATTTTAATATTTGCCTAGTATAAAGCAAATAATACATTTAGGTAAGATAAGAAAAGGGAAGTTGAAATATGTGAGATTGTTAAACTGGACTGCTTGGTAAAAATAAGACAGAATAAAACAAATATTATGGAAAAGCAAACAAAAGTTCAACTGAAGGTTTCTTTCTGTGTAAGAAAAAAATATGTGATACTGCTAGCTTACACGGCTTTCAGGTTACTCACTGTACATGTTTGAGCAGAGCCAAAGTGGTTAGTTGCAAATAAGTGTTGCATATGCATATACTATAGTTTAAACATCACTGTTTAGTTTTCATATGACTAATTATGACTGCATTCTAAATGCAGTGTAATTTCATGAAGTAAATTTTATTAACAATTCTCTATCATGACTGCCATGCCTTCTTAATTCACATAAGCAGGCCAGACTTACTTGCTCCAAATCTTGCTTGCTACTGACCCCAGGTGCTTTGAAACTTGAACATACATTGAGTGTGGATAGTAAAGACATCAACCTGGCAATTAAATGCAGATTAATCTGCATTGATTGTGTTTCCCACAGCTATCTATGGGAAAAATTAGAAATGAGGAAAATTGAAAGAGAACTTTCATGATTTTTTTAAAGCAACTTAGGAAAATCACTTGCAGAATTAGATGAATATTAATAAAATGATTCATTTATCTTTTTTTGTTATCTCTTACTGTGTTTCTTCAAAAGCACACCCCAATAATAAGCTCAACCCTAATTTTGGGGAGGTGGGCCTAATATTACCACTAACCCAAAAATAAGTCCAGGGGGATGGGTGTGACCAGCACAAGTGGCATGGGTGCAGGGGGGGGGCAATTGTATGGCTGCAGCTGCAGCCCTCTGGCCCCTTGTAGCAGCGCAAATACCACTTTTGCCCTTTCTGGGTACACCACTTCTGCTTGTTGGGCCGCTTCCCTGAAGCCGGTAGCTCTATGGCCAGCTACTTTGTTTTCTCCCTCTTTTTGAGAGGCTCGTGGGAGGCTTTTTGGTGAATGGGAGAAAAATGGGGAGAGGGGATTTTCCTGCCTGTCATCTATTCCTCAAGCTCAGCACAGACTGAGGGAAGGATGGCAAGCAGAAAAATTCCCCCTTCCCATTTTTCTTTCGTTCGCCAAAAAGCCTCCATTCTGAATGCTGAAGTTTCAGAATGGAGGTGACAGTACATCCACAGTGTGTCCAGCTCACCAAGTTTGGCCTGTTGCACCTCAAAAAAAGTAAGACCACCTCGAAAATAAGCAGAAGTGCTTATTTTCAAGTCTAAAAAAAAATAAGACTCCTTATTTTCTGAGAACCAGAGTGTTCTTATATATTTATAATATTGATATATTTATAAATGGGTAGCATTTTGTCATAGATTTGTAATAATTCTTTAGTATATTATTGTGTCCATTTTTCTGCACTTCCTACTTCTACTTTTCTGTGGGCTTTTAAAACTGCAAGTTCCATTCTCCTGCATGATATTTTAATGGTGCAACACAGCAGTGTATAAACTGTTTCACCAGGTCAACCTGAGATATTTGGAATTTGCTCAGACTAACTTCCAATATTCTAAAAGGCATATGCATTTTCATTTCATATTCAAAAAAATCAAAGACTTTTAAGTGTAAGCTTCTATTAATTTTCCCTTGTTATGATATTTCACTGATAGATGTTACCAGCAGGGAAGAATATAATGTTCAGTGGTTCCCAGAATTATGTTCTTACAACAATACCGAAGAGCCTGAAAAATTCAATGATGTAACGTATGTAAGTTAAGTTTTAAGCATAAAAAACTGTAAATATATGATCTTATATTTTGTGAGAAGAGTATATATGACCTTTAAAGATCGCAATATGTTCCCTTTATATTTCAAATACAAATTTGTTCTATGCTTCAAAGCATCCATTTTGTCCTTTGTAATGAAAAGCTATTGTAATTTCAGTTCCTTGGAGTCCTCCACATGTATTTGGCTTGAGTTCCTATAGATTGAATATGGCCAATTGGCCATTAGCTCTAATGAATGTGCATTATGTGTGACTTGAATCCTTTGAAGTGGTCTATGTTGAGGAAGGCTGGTTAATCTAGTGTATTTCTTATGATGGAAAACCAGATTTTTAATTAATTCTTTTGGATGGTTAGTAGCTGCAGCTGGCATGGCAGTTGTACTGTAGATGAAGACAGCACCAGGGTTTATGGGGTTAATTTGTTAGGGAAAATTGAATCTCCCCCCCCCCCCTTTTAAAAGCGCCTACTAAAACTGGCATGAATTATGTTCCCATTTTTCTGAAGTTTCTTGAAGAAATATAGTAGTATGCCTTGAGAAAATTAATAATAAGTTCAAGAACTTGTCTACTTATCCAACTTATGCTAGCACTTGAAGTCATATACATCAATTATATACTTTATATAAGGCCTCATAAAAGAAGTATTGATTCATTGTTGTTCTTACCAATTATGGTTATTTCAAGAAGCTGAGACTGGAAGAGAATTGTTCCATCTTTTGTTTGTGGTACACACTGATTTTGTAAGATTAGATAGAACAAGTTATATTCTTTCCATATAACTGATGCAGATTTTTGTATATTTTCTTATATCAACTTTTACAATTTGTTTAAATTCATTTAAGTTAGAAAATACTTATTAATGGCAATCAGAAACATTTCCTGTATGTGCAGTGCAGTGTGCAGTGCAATGTGCAGTATAATATTACATACAGTATAATTTTACATAAAATAAAATGTTATGTTTAATTCTCAAGTACGCTTTGTAAAAATCAACTATTGCCTTCACGCACTTCATTGGATTAAATTATCCACTATAGTTTTTTTTATTCCTTTTTATCACATAGACACATGTTTGTGCAAGCTTTTGAATAGAGAATTACTTTCCACCTATGTGGTAGAGGAATTCATATTGAAGAACACTACCATTTGTGATTCCATTTAAATATGTGCCACATTTTTTTTCCTTTTCAACTTGTGCCATATTATAAAATTTCTTCTATATGAAGTCATCTAGAGATTTGGGCTGAATATGCTGCCTTCAGCCTTACCTATTTCATCACCTATTTCATCTCACTATAATAAATAAATGATATCCAAGAATATTTATACATTTTGTAAACTGTCTTGTTTTCTAAAAATGCATTTTTGCATTGATTGCTTGGAAAATATTAAATTTAAACCCAAGAGGAGGATAATAAAATGGCTTATGTCTCTCATAGGAAAATTATATAATTCTTCAGAACCTGTCCTTTTCATGCAAGTATAAGGTTACAGTTCACCCAGTAAGATCCAATGGTCAGCTGAAATCTGAAAGCATTTTTTTTACGACTCCACCTTGTTCTGATCTAAAAGGGAAAAAACACAAGTATGTAAGCTGCGTAGCTAAAGGAGGTAAGATTCAAAACCATTACAGTGAAATAAAATACTTAAACATTCAAACACTAGTTTTTAAAATGGATTGCTTCCATCATTATATGAAGAGCTTTAAAATTCTTAATGTAACCACTTATAAGTATTAGTATTGCAAAAGCAGATTAATTAATAAGAATACAAAATACAAAAACAACCACAAATTTAATTTTTTTTGTAATCTGATTTTACAGTCAGTAAGTTAGAAGTTTTCAATATGACCTTCATTACTATCTCATTTTTATGCTACATTAAATAAAATTATTTTACAAATTTGATATGTAACAGAAGAATACAATTTAGGTATGAGATACAACAAAACGTTATACATTTATATGCTTTTTTTAACCTGATAAGATGTGATGCCTTTCACCGCTGGTCTGGCTATCTCTAAACATTTTATATTTTCTTTGATAGATCACATCTCTTTAGGCAATTTCTTTAGATAGAAAAATATACTATTGTAAGTAATAGTTTCAGTTCTGGTACCACAAATTGCCTTAACATTTGATATTCTGATCCTCCATACAATGAATTTAATATCTTCAAATATTAATTGACTCACATTTATGTAAAGATATTTATATAAACATGATATTTTCAATAAATAATACAGTAGTTTTTTTTTTTTTTTTTTAAAAAAGACATTTTAGTCATATATAAAACATATAGATAAAGTTGATTTACAGAATTGTATGTAATATAATAATATAAATGCATCTACATCACTTATGAACAACATCAAATCATGAAATTAGAATTTGTGGTAATGTTTACTAATTGAAGTGTATTGTATAAAATGAAACTATATTCATGATAAATAAAATAAGAGATATAATGGTGAGCAATTCATTTGAAAGTAAACATTCCATCTTCATCATATAAGAGCAAAGTTTATATGACACATTGTTGTAGACTCCCTTACTGTATATCTTTTAAAAATTGTACTTAAGATTAACAGAGATGATAACTTCTCTCTTTGTGTTGGTATTATTTTACAGATCCTGTTATCTCAAAAATATTGGCAAAACCAGAGAATCTTTCTGCTTCTTTCATTGTTCAGGACATTAATATTACAGGCCACTTTTCCTGGAAAATATCAAAAACAAATCTTCACCACCCAATGACAGGATTTCAAGTCACCTGGGCAGAAGTCACTACAGAAAGCAGGCAAAACAGCTTACCAAACAGCATTATCTCCCAATCACAAATATTGCCAGTAGTAAGTACCTCTTCAGTGGGGGAGGGGGATATATAGGAGGGAAGAAGCAAGGAAGAAGTTGAGTTGATTGATGACACTGAATGCCTCAAATATATTTCTTTTACTTCAAATAACTGTTTACATTTCCTTTTAGGATCACCATATGTTGACAGTACCCAACCTAAGACCATCAACTCTTTACCGTTTAGAAGTTCAAGTGTTAACCACAAGTGGTGAGGGACCAGCTGCAATAAAATCATTTCAAACACCCAATTTAGTGATATCACCACAGAGTGAGTGTTGACATGCTACAATAACTTATTCTGCATGCATCTCTCTCTTTCTTATATGGAACATAATACATTATGAGTATTTTTAGACATACTCTTCTCCATCTGACCTAACAGCCTGAACATAGTCTTTGATTTATTTAGGATAAAAGATGCTTATTAATTCATCTGAAATTAGCAGTGAGATTGGTCTGAAATGGCTGCTTAGCTCAGCTTTGATTTACCTTGTTTACAGTCTTTCTCATTAATGGATTAAATCTTAAATTATAATATTTTCAACAAAGGAAAGTTGGTAAATCTATCTAGAACAGAATCCAGAATTTAATCAACAGGTGCATTCCAAATCTTTACTTTCTGTCATATCTGGCTTTCTTATAGTTCTCTGGATGTTATATTTAATGTTTATCCTTTGCACTCAAGAATCTCAAAAACTTCCATCTTGGAATGTTTCTAAAATTTTGTATGCTGCAAAACATTAGTTTTAGGATTTTTCTACGTGATGGTATGGGCCTATTTTCAAGCTGTCTGCCATCTTCAAGTAAGTTTTGGACAAAGGAAGCAGCAACTTTTTTTTAAAAAAAAAAGAGTTTTTATTTTTTAAAACACAAACATACACATACAAAACATAAAAACATAAAACCATCTTCCATTTTATATACATACAGTGTGTCAGTTGGTTGCAAATCTTTTGTGCTATCCTTTTATAGTCATTTACTCTCAGTTTATATCAATTTTCACATTGTCAAACTAACATATGCTTATATATTTATCAGTTATTAATCATCCATTACTAAACTATTTATTCCATCATTTTATACAAGATATTCCAGATTTTATCTTAAAATTTATGTTATACTTTCAACCAATGGTTATATATGTCTATATTATGTTTTATATCAATCTACTAAATTTCTATCACAGAATTATCTAGTCTATTACATTACCATGTCTTTTTGTCCAACGATTGATAAAACAAATCCCATATCATATAAAATTGTTTATCTTCTTGTTGTCTAATTTCAAATGTCGATTTACTCATTTCAGCACAGTCCATAATTTTCTTAATAACTTCCTCCTGCATATTTTATCGTTTTTCCAATTCTTAGCAAATAAAATCCTAGCCGCTGTTAATACATTTACAATCAAATATTTCAACTCTTTGTTGTATATTTCCAGTATAATTCCCAATAAAAAGATCTCTGGTTTAAAGTCTACATGTTATTTTATCATTTTTTCCAACCATGTGTGGATTTTAGTCCAATATTTCTTTGCGTCCGAGCATGTCCACCATATATGGTAATATGAACCAGATATCTGATGACATTTCCAACATTTATCCGATTTATTCTTAAACATTCTCACAAGTCTCATTGGGGGTAGATGCCACTTGTAAAACATATTATAAAAATTTTCTTTATATGCAGTTGACATTTTCATTTTTATAATTTTGAGACCACAATTTTTGCCATTTTTCTAAATCAATCCCATATCCAAAAATTTTCCCCCAAGCAATCATCGTTTCGTTAACTTGTCCCTCCTCCAATTTAAATTCTAATAAGTGTCCATAAAGTTTTTTAATTACCTTTTCATCAGTACCCATCAAATTTTTATCTAAATCAGTCAACTTATAAATACCTTCTGCTTTAACATCTTTGTCAAATCTAGATTATATTTGCAAATATGAAAACCAGTTCATTTTTACACCTTGTTCTTCCAATGCTTGAACAGATTTAAGTTCACCCGTTTCATTCAATATCTCACCATATCTAACTGTTTGTCCCTTTTTATATATTATTGGATAAGAAAAAGCTTCAATGGTAGATATCCATAATGGAATTTTTAAATAATATTGTCTTTTTATCTTCTCCCAATTCAAAAACAATGCCTCTCGAATGTAATGTCTTCTAAAATACCCTTGTGTTTTAGTTCCCTTATACCAAAGGAAGGCATGCCATCCCAACAGCAAGTCATGCCCTTCTAAGGTCAATAGTCTGTTGTTCCTTAATGTTATCCATTCCTTTACCCCCATCAAATTTGTCGCCTGGTAATACAACTCCCAGTTAGGCAAAGCAAACCCTCCTCTTATTCTTGCATCTTGTAAGTTTTTATTCTTGCTTTTTTGCCCTGCCAAATATATTTCAGCACAATTCGATTTAAATCTTCAAAAAACTCTTTCCCTAGTCAGATTGGAATTGTCTGGAATAAATATAAAATTCTAGGCAATACATTCTTCTTAATTGTAGATATTCTCCCAATCAATGATGATTGTAAGTTTCTCCATTTTGTCAAATCTGTCGCAATCTGCTGTTTGAGTTTAAGATAATTATCCTCCTTCAGTGTACTACATCTTGGTGTGATATTCATCCCTAAATACTTAACCTTGTTTGTGACCTTTATTTCTAAAACTTCTTGGGGCATAGATGATAAAGAGTAAAGTTACATCCTGAGGCTATTCACAGCTGGTTCTAGTTGCTTTCACCCAGGCAATGGTAAGCAGTATTGGAAAATATGTTCATAATAAGAAAATAAGAATTTCTATTGCATATGGATGGCCATGTGAGGGGAAGAAAGAAAGGATGGTAATACTAAAAACAGGATTTCACTTCACTGATGATCACAATTATTTGGGATGTAGCAATTGCTGTCAAATCTTCTGCATATTTAGAAAAGGGTAGCGAGAAAAAAAGCAATTATTCATGGTTATTCAATCCTATAAGCTTCATAGACTAGGCTAAGTCTAATAAACTCAGAATTATGTGCTTTCTCAAGAATTATCTAAATCAAACAAAAACATCTTCTTGGTTCTTCAAGACATCTATTTGATCCTTGTCCAACACAATTGGTCAAGGCTAACCAGAAGATGACCTGTTGTTGGTCTCATGGCAGAACTGGGTATCTCCTTCCTTGGTATCTCTAAGCCACTTTCAATGCCATTGATCCCAGTAATTCTCTGGGCCAGCTACAAGATTTGGATGTGGAGGCATCATTTTGCAGCAGTTCTCATTCTTTCTTTATGACTAGTTTCTATAGTGTTTTATGGGATGAAGACATAGAGTCTACATACCTTCACTTGTGAGTGAGCTTTTTTCTTGTCATATGTTGTCTTAGGGATACTCATGATCCCTTTTGATCTTTATACCTTTTCGTATTTTTAACTTTAAGCCATCTGTTTTTTTTGGAGACAGGCAGCCCATAAATTGTATGTATGTATGTATTTAAAATAATATAAATAAATACCAAGAGTGACTCTTGAAGAATCAGATTTATGGGGAATAGGTAAGGAATATCAAATAACTCACAGTTTGGAGTTTTGCGGGGGTGATGGAGTTGAACAAAATATTTAATTGATTTACTTCTGAAGCTAATAGAAGTCACAGGACTACAGAATAATATTGTTTTGGCCAGAAAAATAACAATGTTATACTGTCATAGGACAAACCTGTAGGGATTTAAAGATTACCAACAACTGATAATTATGAACTAGGGTTATAGTATTCTTTTTCTTTCTAGGACCTCATATGAAGCATCACCATCCACGACACTACAAATCACCCCCTGAAAAATACTAAATTGCCATAAATTATTAACCAGCTGGAAAACGATGCAAAGAAGTTCTTGAAAGACGACCAGAAAAATGCATCTTTATTGGGTTATGGAATGAGCTATTGTTTTAATAAATGTTTATCAAATATGAATTGTGTATAAATCTGTATGAAATGGATTGAAAAAAGCATGTTTGAACTAATTTTGGGATATAGTACAGAATATAATGCAAAGATCAGCTGTATTCGTATTATCAGAGCATTCATCATCTATGAAAATGTAAATATTTTCATATATATCATTATAGCAATTACCTGTTACTGTAGCATATGCTACATGACATCCTGCTTTATCACTTCCCATTAATATCTTTACATAGCTTTTTAAATAGATTTAAACCATCCATTTAAACCTGAGTTATCTGTGGCTGATACAGGAAAAACATAACAACAATCCCTGTCCATTTCATGATATATGATATACATGGCCTAATAATATCTATTTAGTAATTGAGTAGAATTTCAATATTTTACCTAATTTGCTTTCAGAAATCCCATTAAATGGAGAAAGATTCATGTCCATTTGATGAAGAAACATTATCTTGTTTCCATGAAGTAGACACATTAACTTTTGAGGGTTTCATTAAGGGGGGATTATTTTTCCTAAATTATGAAGAAAAATGATCAAACTGTTGTTGTTTTTCATACTGGGAACTGAAACCAAATGGAGTACTTAAAGCAACACTACAACACTAATTGAAATGTAAATAAGTCTGTCTTATAGCTACTAGTATCATTAAATACTTCACAAAATTAATGAATTTAAGTGAGGGTTGAGGTTAAGTTCTTTGAACTAGACTTTTACTTTAGAAGAAGTTTGTCATGTGAGATGTAGGGCCTTTTTACACCTAGGAGCTGCAAGATGTTCCATGACATTTTGAAATATAGGAAGCTAACACAGTTTTCCAGCATTTCTTCTGGACTACTTCTTTTCCATTATCACTTTCCACTCTCATTACCAGGAATTGCCTCATGCTAGTTCTTGGGAGTCTCCCTTCTCATCTGTTGCCACCATCTTGGTATATCATAGTAACATTAAGAAGTAGCTTTCTTGGTTTATGCAAATAATGGCCTATTATAAGGCTGGGGTGGTAGTGGAAATGAATGCTGGTAAGGGCAGAATGATGGAAGAATAGCAGGTGAGATTTTTGTACATTCCCACAAAAAAACTCCAACTGGCAGAAGTTAAGTTCTATAGAAAAAGCAATTGATACTGCAAAGTTATGTGAGAAAGGAAGAGAAACTAGACATTTTATAGTTACCCTTTCAGTACTTGGCCACCAATAAAGATACGTTTGTCTATCCAACAATATATACACTGTATATCCCTCCCAGAAGGAGCTTGTTTTTCATTTCACTACAGGAATATCTTTGTGCAAATAGAAGGATCTTTATCTGATTATTCAGGTAAACTGAATCCTCATACAGGGAGAAGATTGCAGGGCACGTGTTGACCAAGTTCATGATATCAGAGTTATTTTATTAAATAATAAAATATTGACAGCATCAATTGAATTAAGCTAAATCTGAAAATTTCCTGCGTCTTTACTTTAAACAAAACTTTATTGAATGACATAATGAAGTATAGGAAACTTCATGGACACACTTTATTAACTAAACTGTAACCACATGTTTTAAACAATACAGTTTTAGATCACACTTCAGATTTAATTTTCTTTTGTCTTGTTCATTAGAAAAAAATTAGCATCCTCTATTCTTAGAGGGACATATCTCTCCATTACATGCTTTGATTTATATCAAGTGAAAGGAAAAACAATGCTGTCCATAACCACTGCAGTAGAAAATTAAAGGGTAGAGATACTTTTTTGCATAAATGTTTAATCTATAACAATACATAATTGTCATAAATAAGATTAAGAATATCCCTCTTTTTAAAGGGAAAAAAAAGGCCAAATGTTTTTGAAGAGCATATAGGAAAACAGACAACAATGTCTTTGAATTATTTCAGAAAATTTATGGTTCTTGTGAGCATACTGTATGTTCGACAAGCTTGTATATGCAGATACAATTAAGAGAAGATTTGCACATATTCTTTACTTGCTACATCTGTAAAGACTTGCATGCATAAAATATGCTTAAGAGTATACAGTATGGACTGGTTTTCATTCAGATAATGGAAACCAACAATGAAAAGACATTTTAAAAAAGGTTCAAGTTATCAAGAGGTAGTCTGTGTATTCACTTTCAATGTTTTTATTTGTCTAATTTCAAAAAAAAAAAACCACAACAATTTTATTCAAACAAAAATTTGATCCAAATAAAGCCAGTTTGACTTTAGGTGTTCACGGTATGCTTTATAAATTAGTTCAGTGTTTTCAATGACTTGATTGCTTAAAAAGCAGAAATTGCCAAATGCTGCCAACACAATAGTGTTCGGTGCAATCTGTTTCTTCATTCAGTTGAAAACAATTGTTATATATGTGTGTGGGAAATATATTGAAAAAAGCTGTTAATCTGTTTCTGTTAATCAGATTTCAAAAACAATTGTATTGAAAACACTAAGATTTATCAAACTATATTAGTTCTCTTTTATGCAAGAACAGGATTTAATTACAAATAAATCTTCAAAAAATGTAAGAATGGAAGTTAGTAACTTCCATTTTATTTCCTCTTATTTTTAAAAAGGGCATATAAAAGTTGTGATAACTTATTTATTTTAGATCGCATTACTTTTATGTTATTTGTCTTGAATTTGTTAAGTATTTTTAAATCTCTGATTAATACCTGTGGACATATAAATGTCATATAAGTTGTACATTGTACTCCAGATACACGCTTTTAATGGTTGCATTATTTTTTAAGACTTCAAATGTTTTTTTTTAAAGGAAATTAATGCTTCCAGGTGTTGTTGGATCTATAGGTTTTGCATGCCAAAAAATCATAATTCAGTTAGAGACATGAATTGTATGACTGTTTACCTCTACTGAATATAGTGGTAAGGTACTGTTTAAAAAATAATTAATAGATTATATGTAAAAATACTCCTCCCTTTTATGTAATTATATTGTAGCATAAAGAAAACACAGCCACATGTTTGCTAATTCAGCTGACTGAAAAATTACATTTTTATAACAGTCATTTAAAAGTCAGTATTTATTTATGTAATACAAAATAATTAATTCTGTGTCATGTTATTTTGGCCAATGTTTCTTGTAAAACATTTTGTAAAATAAATTGTAAATACTCTGGTTGGTTGATCTTCATATTTAGATTTTGTACATAAGTTGAATTAATAAACGATCATATAGTTATATAGACTCATAATTATCATCTTTGTTGGGATTGCTTTGTATAATAATTGTCTTTTACACAAAGTGATTTAGTCCATGATAGATTTGCTGACATTTAGTCAGGGTTTTCAAACCATAATCAATACATTTCATAGGAAACACTTAGCCCGAATCAAATACATACATACAATAATACATCAATGTTTTTCCTACTTGGCAACTTGCTGACTGGCAAATTCTGGGACTTGGAAGTCCACACATTCTTAAAGTTGCCAAGTTTGCAAAACATGGATGATACATAAATCTAGCTAGTGGTTCCGGTCCACTCCAAAACTTATCAGGAACAATAGCTGTGCATGCCAAACCTCAGTCAGGTACATGAATCAGAAGAAAAGAGGAGAATTTATGGCTTTCTTCTTGGGTTTCTATATAATTTACTGAAAAATGGCAGTAGGACTACATATGGGAGCTTAAACTAATGAATCAGGAATTTTTTAACCTGAACCCCCGAAATTGGCACTATTTGTTTCTATAGTTCAGTATTATTTGGGGAAAACATAAGAAGCTTCCATTGCACATTTGTGTAATATTGTACATAAGTGCTTTCCATCCAAATCCAATGGTGGATCAATGTAGAGGTGGGGTAATTAATTCCCTTTCATTGGCTAAATACAAGTTATAAAAAGAGGCAAATAGCTATCCCCTATAGAATTGAATTGAATTGAATTCTTTATTGGCCAAGTGTGATTGGACACACAAGGAATTTGTCTTGGTGCAAATGCTTTCAGTGTACATAAAAGAAAAGATAGATTCATCAAGAGTCAGCTGTTTGTGGTGAAAGAATTCAGGACTTGGTTATAGTTTTAGCCTGCATATATCTCCCTATTCGCTGGAATTTAGCATTGCTGTTTCTTGGATATAACCTACAGGTCTCAGCAAATTACTTGTTTGTAAACATACTATACTTGTACAAACTGTACAAGTCTTATAAGAAAAAGCTTCACACCCTTGGATTCTCTTTGTACTTTGAACATCTATTGTGCCTAAGAATTGTATTTGGTGCTGATGTGGGGAAAAACCAAAACACTCATTAAAGTTTTTCTCATGGTATTCAAGGCAACTTGGACAGTTTTAGTTTTGTTTCTTTAATGGAATATTGTGATGAGTTCATACAATAAATGTGACTCTTTAGAAAAACTGTTCAAATAAATATAATCCCTTATACAGTCTAGATAATTTATAGTAATTTTTACACACTTGCCTGTTGAGCAGACTTCCAGTACTCTGTTCTTAGGTTTCCACAGTAGCTTATTAATGATTTTTTTTGAGTAAAAAAAACATAAATGGTCTACAGATTTGCCTAAAAGGCATCTTGCCTGCCTCACTGAACTTTCATATTGATAGTGATAAAGAAGTTTCATGGGTTCCAGTGTTCATAAATGGTAAGAGTAATACTTAATAAAGATTTCTCAAATTGTATTGTATGCCAAGGGCACATTCTTGAACGTTCCTTGGAATGTGTATAAGCGACTCAGCGAATACATCAATGTGTCCTGAAAATGATTTAGCAGGCTATCATAAAACAGAGTTAGCTGCATCTATAATCACATATGTGTAAATTAATGTTAGTATTTATCTCGGATCTAGGTTATATGCATAAAACAAAGTGAAAATTCTGGTTATGTGCCAGTACCAAGGCTTGGTTCTAACTTGTTTATCACCTTATGTCAACTCTAAAACCCTCCTGACTTCTTGGAAGCACAGCTGGAGATTTCACAGAGTTTATTTTAGCAATTGTATGAACACCTGCATTCTTAATTGCGTTTCAAAGTCATATAAATAAATAAAAACTTAAGAGATAACTTCCTTGTTGAGTAATCAGATTAAGGTTATTTAGATATCTCTGCAACAGTAAATGTATTATTACTCATGGTAATATAACTTTTTAAACATTTGGCAAACACTTTAAAACAGGGGTCACCAAACTTTTGGACTTCAGGGACCACCAAACTCATAATTTTAAATCCCGGGGGCCACTAATATGAATTTTGACGGACGGTGGCTTGCTCACATTGGTGGGAGAGAGAGAGATCTGATCTAACCTCTCTCTCCCTCTCTCTCATACACAAACACACAGACGCAGGGATGGGATTCAAATTTCTTAACAACTGGTTCTTGGGCGTGGCTTAATTTGTGGGTGTGGCTTGGTCATGTGACTGGCTGGGCATGACTTGTATGTAAATATTATAAATATTTAAGTAAATATTGAATTTTTTTATATAAAAAGAGCAACTTTTACCCAAAATCATGCAAAGCAGGCAGGCAGATTGAGTTGCTCAGAGAATCACAGATTCACTTAGAGATCTGTGTTTCTGCCATCGGCTACCTGACTCTGTCACATAAAATTTGCTAGCAAGCAAACTCACAAAATTAACTCACAACACACCATGTATGTAAATATTGAATTTTTTATTTTTAAAAAAGCAACTTTTACCCAAAATCAGGTAAAGCAGGCAGGCAGATTGAATTGCTCACAGAATTCACTTAGAGATCTGTGTTTCTGCCATTGGCTATCTGAGTCTGCACTGAATAATAGAACCTTCAGTCCTAAGCAAGGTTCGGCTCTGCTTAAAAGCAGAGCCGAAGAGCTAAAGATTAGCTAGAAAAATAATAAGAGAACACCTGTCTGATCTTGATGAAAACAAATCACCAGGGCCTGATGAATTACATCCCAGAGTTTTAAAGGAGCTGGCAGAGGTCATCTCAGAACCACTGCACCATCTCTTTCAAAAATCCTGGAGCACCGGGGAACTACCAGAGGACTGGAAAAGAGCTGATGTGGTTCCCATCTTCAAAAAAGGAAAAAAAAACAGACCCAGGAAACTATAGACCAATCAGCCTAACATCAATACCCGGGAAGATGCTGGAAAAGATAATAAAAAAACAGATCTGTCAACATCTAGAAACAAGTAAAGTAATAACTAGCAATCAGCACGGGTTTGTTAAAAACAGATCATGTCAAACCAATCTTATTTCATTCTTCAACACAGTGACTAAATTAGTAGACCAACAAAATATTGTGGACATAATATATTTAGATTTCAGCAAGGCATTTGACAAAGTAGACCACAACCTACTTCTTAGTAAGCTAGAAAAAAAGTGGAATAGATAGCACCACCACTAGATGGACTCGCAACTGGCTGGCAAACCGTACTCAACGAGTAGTCCTTAATGGATTTAAGCCTACATGGAGGGAAGTAAGCAGTGGGGTGCCACAAGGTTCCGTCTTAGGCCCAGTACTCTTCAATATCTTCATTAATGACTTAGATGAGGGAATAGAAGGGGAACTTACCAAATCTGCAGATGATACTAAGCTGGCAGGAATAGCTAACACCCAAGAAAATAATGAAATATTTTATTATCCAACCATTGATAGAAAAGATAGAAATTTTATAAAATTGTTTATCCACTTGTTCTCTGATTTCAAATGTTAATCTACTCATTTCAGCACATTCCAATATTTTCTTAATGATTTACTCCTGTGATGGTATTTTCTCATTTTTTGCAACTTTTAGCAAATACAATCCTAGCCGCTGTTAACACGCTTACAATCAGGTATTTCAAGTCTTTACTATATATTTCAGGTAAAATTCCCAATAAAAATATCTCTGGTTTCAAATCTATATGTTTTTTTGTCATTTTTTTTCCAACCACATATGGATTTTAGTCCAGTATTTTTTAGCATCCGCACATGTCCACCACATATGGTAATATGAGCCAGGTGTCTGATGACATTTCCAACATTTTTCAGATTTATTCTTGAACATTCTTGCTATTCTTTTCGGGGGGAAATGCCACCTGTAAAACATCTTATACAAATTTTCTTTATATGCTGTTGACATTGTCATTTTATGATTTTGAGACCACAATTTTTGCCATTCTCTAAATCGATCCCATATCCAAAATTCTTTCCCCAAGCAATCATAGTTTCTTTAACTTGTTCTTCTTCTAATTTAATTTCTAATAAATATCCATACAGTTTTTAAATCACCTTTTCATCAGTACCTGTCAAAATCTTATCTAAATCAGTCAATTTATCATAGAAACCTTCCATTTTAGAATCTTTATCATACCTTGAATGTATTTGCACATATGAAAACCAATTCATCTTTATACCTTGTTCCTCTAGTTTTTGTATAGATTTGAGTTCACCCTTTTCATTCAATATTTCACCATATCTAACTGTTTGTTCCTTTTTGTATATTATAGGATACGAAAATGCTTCAATAGTCGATAACCAGACTGGAATCTTCAAATAACATTGTCTTTTAATCTTCTCCCAGTTTAACCACAGAGACTCCCGTATATAATGTCTTCTAAAATACCCCTGTGTTTTAGTTCCTTTATACCATAAAAAAGCATGCCACCTCAACAACAGATCATGTCCTTCTAATGTTAACAACCTAGTATTTCTTAATGTTATCCATTCCTTAAGCCACATCAAATTTGTAGCTTGGTAATACAACTCCCAATTAGGCAAACCAAATCCTCCTCTAATTCTAGCATCTTGCAAAAGTTTTAACTTTATTCTCGCTTTCTTACCTTGCCATATATATTTCAACACAATTTTATTTAGATCTTCAAAGTAATCTTTTCCAAGCCTAATTGGAATTGTTTGAAACAAATATAAAATTCTGGGTAATATATTCATCTTGATTATTGAAATTCTCCCTATTAGTGACAGTTGTAAATTTTTCCATTTCGCCAGATCTAGCTCTATCTGCTGTTTAAGTTTGAAAATAAGGAGAAACTTTCTGACAGTGAGAACAATCAACCAATGGGACAGCTTGCCCTCGGAAGTTGTGGGAGCGCCATCACTTGAGACCTTCAAGAAGAGATTGGACTGCTATTTGTCAGAAATGG